CGATTGACACGAAGTCGGCTTCCTTAACGTGTCCCTCGAGCTCGGCTAGCGCCGGCTCGAAGTTCGACTTCGTCACATTCTTCAGCGCCAAGTCGGAAGGATTGGAAGAAGAGCATAGAAAGCGGTTGAATGTGAATAATTGGGTTCCGTTTCGGGCTTGGGCCTCAGTCATGGCCCGAACCAGAAAGCACTTCTTCATCCTCTGCTTCTCATTTCAGAGCCTCGGCCTTCTTCTTAGGGATGTGGATGATTACTCCGTAGGGCACCGGTGATTACGTGTCACGGTAGTGAGAGTTTGGCACGATTATTTGGGGCAGCTACCGGGCTCTTAGAAAATTAAACAGGGGAGAGTTAAAAATTTTAACTATACACAATTCAAAAATCAGATTTTAAGTTTTACTAATACAAAAATCAGATTTTAATTTATTAATTAAATATAATAGAATCACAGTTATATAATTAATGATCACATATACATAATTATAGATCACAGTTCACATATTTTAAAATTAATTGATCACAGATTATTTCGATGTCACGGATCAAAAATTTTGTACATCACAGATTATTTCAATGTTACAGATTTTTAAATTAGTTGGTCACAGATTATTTTTGAGTCGCATATTATTAAATTTTTAGGTAACAGTTGAGTAATTGATCACAAGTTACCAAACATTTGGTCACAGATTACCAAACATTTAGTCACAGACTACCGCCACTACTACCGCACCGTCGACACCTTAACTTGCAAAATCAACTATACCCAACCTACAACCTCGCCAACATAACCACCGTCCCCATCGCTTGGTCACAGACTATCGCCACTACCACCGCACCGTCGACACCTCCACCTGCACAATCAACTATACCCAACCCACAACCTCACCAACATAACCACCGTCCCCACCACCTACACGACCACCGCCAGAAACCACCACAGCCACCAGACCACAACCATAGCCAAAAACCCCCCACCAAACACACCTAACAATGCACCACCCCCACAACCTCACTAAAATCGTCGTCAATTCGCCATAGCCACCAACACCATCTACCTGCACAACCAACAAAAAATACCTAAAAACTCCCCAACACCACCAAACCACCACCACAAGATAGAAAGGAAAAGACAAGGGAATGGCGAAGGAGATAACAGGTTTTCGATGATGTGGTACGTGAGGGAATGGAGGAGCAGTGCAGTTCCCATTGGCGGCGCCAACCAAAAACATCAATATCACCTCGCCGCCACCACTATAGAACCACCACAGCACCACTACCCGCAT